TTCCCTTTGAGGGTGACAGATTGTGGCACAAAGTGATTGAGAGCATTCATGGGGTGGCTGGAAATGGCTGGGATGCAAAAGTTGCCCCTCACAGTTCTTCGGCTTCTCCTTGGAAAGCAATTCATGAAATCTACCCTATTTTCCTTGATTCCATCCGGTTTGATGTGGGACAAGGTAATAGAATTCTGTTTTGGGAAGATTTATGGGTAGGGGAAACCCCACTAAAAGACCAATTCCCTGATCTCTTTGCACTATCTAACCGTAAGGGGAAATCTATATCCATGTTGGGATCACTGTGTCCAACTGGTGTGAACTGGAACTTAGGCTTTAGAAGGGGACTAAGGGAGAATGAGTGTGAATCCTTAACCCGCTTGCTGAACCTCTTAGGGCATATCCACCTGGACCCTTGGTCGGAAGACTCAAGAATCTGGGTAGGCTCTCCAGACGGCCTCTTTTCTTGCTCCTCTTTCTTCAAATTACTTGCTTCCCCCAACCCTCTAGGTGGGACCTTCCCAGTGAAAGAAATCTGGTGCAAGCCTATTCCTCCGAAGATCCAAGCTTTCTGTTGGGAAGTATTCCTTGGAAAGGTAAACACTTGTGATATGTTGTAGAAAAGAAGGCCATACATGTGCCTTTCTCCTCATGTGTGTTCACTTTGTAAGGGAAGTGGTGAGACCCTTTCTCATTTAATGATATCTTGTTCTTTTGTGCATCGAATTTGGGATTTCTTTTGTACTCTCTTTGGCTGTAGGTGGGCGCCCCCTCAAGATGTTCCTTGGAAAGGTAAACACTTGTGATATGCTGTAGAAAAGAAGGCCATACATGTGCCTTTCTCCTCATGTGTGTTCACTGTGTAAGGGAAGTGGTGAGACCCTTTCTCATTTAATGATATCTTGTTCTTTTGTGCATTGAATTTGGGATTTCTTTTGTACTCTCTTTGGCTGTAGGTGGGCGCCCCCTCAAGATGTGGCAGGACTCTTCAACCATGATTTCTTGAGACAGAAAGAAAAGAGGGATGATAATGTGGAAAGCAACAAAGGCAGCAATTTGTTGGGTAATATGGGAAGAGAGAAACAACAGAATTTTCTTGGAAAAAAGTAGAAAAGAAGAGGAAGTGATTGATAATATCAAGGTGAAAGTAGCCCATTGGGTAAAACTCTTGGACTGCTTTCAAGTCTTCTCAGTCGCAAATATTCTAAGAACATGGTCCGAAGTAGCACAATCTTCGAGAGTAAGAGATAAAGTAAGGCCGGAGTGGAAACCACCTGAAGGCAATAAAGTAAAGCTGAATTTTGATGGGTGCTCATATGGAAATCCAGGCATTTCAGGAATAGGAGGAGTATTAAGAAACCTTGACAGGAGGATATTGGGTATGTTCTCAGGGCCGATTGGCAACGATAACTCGCTGAAGGCTGAACTATTGGCAAGGGTTAAAGCTAGCCAAACAACTAGGATGCAGACATGTTGAAGTGGAAGGGGATTCAAAAGTAGTAATTTCATGGGCAACAAATAGCAGCCACACCCCATGGACGTTTAAACATGTGATTAGGGAAGTGGAGAAAATTGCCAAGGAGATTGAGGCTGAATTTAAATGGGTCCGAAGAAGTGCAAATGGGCTAGCTGATGGATTAGCAAAACAAGGGGCATTGAGACAGCAATTATTTTGGGCTACACTGTAACGAGGGATGGATAGAGTGAGGAAAAGGGATCAACAGTCCCGTCATCAAATTGTATAAAATGCGTACAATCTGATTTTTAATAAACCACATATTTTCTGATAAAAAAAAATCAATACATGGTGGAACCACACAAGTTACACATTCTTTTTTCTAAGAAGCTTTCTGGTTTCTTGATTTAGTGGATTTATAGGAATTAGAGTGTTGGGATATGTAACTTTGGAATGCCATCTATGGTTTTATAATTTGGTTTTGTTGCAAAACATAAGTCCATGTGCAAGTGGAATGAATTTGTTGATGTTTTAGGGAGTTCATGGAAACATTGTAAGATTATTGAAACTATGGAAACACTATTGCAATGTTATGAGTCAACGATAGACCAACTCAAAGGATTTATAATAAGCATTAGTCATTGTTGTCAACACATTGCCTTGGCGACAGGGCACCTCTGATGGGTTGCCAGCCCGAACACCATGAGGTATATTAAGAAGTTGTTTGTGTCTAGGTGAATAGATGCCAATTTAAGCTACAAAAATCACAAAGAAGACACCTAATTAATATTTATTATTAGTATGGTGGATCTTATTAGTTTATATGTTGTTACATCCTATTATATATTATTTATATTACTCATATTTTATTTTAGGGTTTCACTATTGAGACAAAATATGAAGGGTTTGAGAAACGAGAAAGAAAGAAGAGTAGGAAAGATGAAGTTTCTTCTTCTCTTATGCAATTAGTCTTTTATTCTATCATTAAGTATGATTAGGGGCTCCAGCCCTTGATTTTCCATCATTTTTTTAATCAATAACTAATCATTTTACTAATGCAAATCAAAATGTACATGTTACAAGCATCTATGGGAGTGAGAAATTTTCCATCTTTCATTACTTGCTTTCTCTTACATCTTCTATTAGTATAAAATTGCAGCCTTCTTTAGTTGCTTTTAAAATTTTGACATGCAATTGCTTGATTACATACTTGGTTATATTAGTGTTGTGTTTGAGATGTTGAAATTAATAAACATATTTAAAATGGATATTTTGAGGGGTGGGCCCATTCAAATTTTGACAAAAGCCCAACCTGAGCCTGTACAAGCTGCACCCCTTATTCTCTTTTAGATATGATGTTTTCGATTTTGCCATATTTTCATATGAAATTCAGTGTTATTCAATGAACAATATTGCTATTATTATTTTTTAAATTATATGCATGCTGATTGCCGATTCCATACAGTTGGGATAAGGCATGATGGTGATGCATGCTGATTCATCATCATCATCATCTAAGCCTTATCCCAACTATATGGGATCAGATACCTGAATTCTGTTCTGTTTGGTGGCATATTTATGTCCTTTTATTTGAAAGGGGAACTATATATATCTTCATTTAAACAATTACCCACCATGTCAAATTCTTAGGTTTTACCAGAAAACAGGAAAGAGAATCATCCACAAAGAAGTAAAATTCTGAGACTTTGCATTTGCCCCAAATCAATCGGTTCTGGTAATCCTAAAGTAAAATGCTATCAATCTCAAAACCCGTCACTAGATGGTTCTGATGGTTGGGGCACTCTCTTGCAAAATGCCCTTGCTCCCCACAGTTGAAGCAACTTCTGCCATCACCATAATATCCTCCACCGCTGCCTGATCTCCAAGTGCTGCCTCCACCACCATTTCTCTGATCACAATCCCTGGTATGATGTCCAGTTTGACCATAGTTATAAGTTATAACAAGCACCAGCAGCACCCCCATCATTGCCCTGATTACAATCCTTAGTTGGATAACCAGTTTTCCCACAGTTGTAAGTTATAACGAGCACTGGCACTACCCCCACTGTAGCCTACACCAGCAATTACCTGATTACAATCCCTGGCAAGATGACCAATTTGACCATAGTTACAAGCACCGGCATCACCTCCACCACCACCTCCATACCCTCCACTCCTAACTACCATAACTGCCACCTCTTCCCTGTCCACCAAAAAAAACCCTCTTCCACTACTACCTCCAGAGTCATTTCCTCCACCTAGTTCCGACACGTCAATGTCCTTAGACTGTCCATCCTCACGAACTCAACCTGCTTACCCTCTGAAAGGGTCCGGTAACCATCACATCGGATTGACGACTAGTGAACAAAGAGATTTTCTCCCTCTTTGGGAGTGATGAACCCAATATCCTTCTGCCCATTGAACCACTTCATAGTCCCCATCACTCTCTTTCCCTGCAGCATTGCCTTGAATTCTCCATCGCAAAAGAACTCTTGTTCTGCAGCCAAGTTTCCAATAACTCTTTATAACCATTTTTGTATTGAACTTCAAATTGTAACAGATAGTACAGTTGCTGTAGGTGGTCTTCTATGCTTGTAAACAAACCACGTTAGTCTACTTTCTCTCAGTTTATCACCTATTGGACTACTCCTAGGTTCTTTTGAATGATTTCATTTCTGAACCTATCCTTTCTAGTTTTTCCGTTCATCCATCTCAGCATATGCAATTCTGCCATATGCATGCTGATTGGTATATAAAAATAAGGAAATTAACCTATAACCTAGTTTTGTTTCTTTGTCAAATTCAATCACCTAGGTGATTAAGTGTTCCATTGTCTTTTAGAGTTGGAATTCAGTCTGACAGCTATGGCTCTGGTACACACTTTGGACTCCTTACACAACCAATGTAACTATTTGAAATAAGAAACAAAATATTTTTTTTGAGGAGGTATCCAATCTCTGTATCAATGCCTCTCATTTCTCTTTGCTTTGAATGATAATCTTGTTTTATTCTTTACCAAAAATAAATAGGAAAGATGGAATAAAGAGAGTAATGCTTGTCCATTGTACAGGTCAACTATTCACAAAATCCAAATTGTACATAAATAAATGTTTTGGTGTCATGATGATAATGCAACACATCTTCTATATCAAAGAAATCTGACTAACACATTTCATTTAATCTGATTTAATATTTTAAATACTTTTTTAGTTTGTTGATTTTCTTAAGTTTTATAGAGAACCTGCCCCTTTTTTATTGTTTACAGTGAGAAGACCCTTTTTTAGCTGTTTTATTTTTAAGAGTTCTAGTTTACATGTTTTTGATTTAAATCATGTAATTTCATTGCTATGGATGTATATTTTGATGGGAGCAATTTATTAAAGTTTGACCAAATTTTATTGAGGTTTGTCCAAAACTTTAGCAAGGAATGTTTTTTCTTTGTTGTCATGGTAGTGGAAGTATTCTGGTGGGTTAATTTTGGTTCTGGTGTAAGTTTATAACCACTGCCATCTAATAATCTAAATTGGCATTTCACAATTTGAATATTTTGCAGGAGAGGCTGGATTACTTGGAAGATGGAAAGAATGTGTTCAGATTGCGGTTGAGGCTGTGTTCCTCTTTATTTCCGATTAATGAGCGCATTCGAGATTTTTTTCTTGAATATGATAGGCATACTCTTCGCACAAGTCCACCTTGGGGATCTGAACTTCTGGAAGTATTTTTCTACTTTTCTTTTTTCTTTTTCATTTTGTTTTTTCCTTTTTTTTTCCTTGGTTGGTTGTGAACCATTGGTACATGTTTTTCATTTAAAACCATTTTGATATGGAACTTGCCTAAATATGTGTTTCTGTCATTAGTTTTTGACAACCACATATCTGTTTTTACTTTCAGGCAATCAACAGCTTGAAGAATGTTGAATCCATGTTCTTGCTGCAGTTTCTGCAGCCAATCTTGAATATGCTTCTCCATCTTATAGGCGATGGTGGTGAAACACTTCAGGTCTTCTTATAAAAACTTCGATTGATCCTTTTGTACTTTGTTTATGTTCCCTTAACTTTCTCTTATCTGTTGTTCCTAATCTATTTTCAGGTTGCAGCCTTTCGAGCCATGGTCAATATATTAACCCGGTAAGCATTTTAATTGTGGCTATTATTGGAATGTGATACTGAATGCTTATTTTGAATGGATTACTCTGTGAGCAAAAATTTATTGTGTTCCTAAATGAAAATGGTTGTATTATTATATACACAAAGGGCCATTAAGATACAATCTCTTTATATGGTTCTCAGTTTATCTGAACTCAATGAGGTCTATCCCAGTTCCCAGCCATATACATTTATAAATCCTATCTATGATTTTTCTTTAATAAATGGTGATAATGCCATCAACTGATTAATTGCACCAAAATCTCAAGATGGTACCAACTGGCCCAGTTGGTAAGGTCTCTGGCTGGTTGTAGCGGAGATGGGATCAAATCCTGCTGTTATGTGGTTAGGGCTGCCATGTGTTGGACAATATGGGAAGAAAGGAATTCAATGATTTTTTTTTTCAGAAAAGGAAAGGAATAAAGAGGCCATCATTTGAAGCAGTAACATTTAGAGTGGTCCAATGGGTAAAATCTTTGGAGCTGTTTGTTGATGTCTCTATGGATATGCTGCTTAACAAATGGAAGGAAGTGGCTAATTCAGCACCTGTTCATTCAACTGCTAGTCCTATTTGGTCCACACCGGGTTCTGGTTCTATTAAGTTAATTTTGATGGAAGCAGTGAAGTTAATCTGGGGACTTAGGAACATGAGCCTTCAAAGACGAGGATGGGAGAGTGGTTGCAATGTATTCTGGTCCTATTGGAATAGGTGACTCTCTTAGAGTTGAGATTATAGCATTAATGGAAGGGTTAAGGAAGACAAAGGAGCTGAACATTGAAAGGTTAGTGGATAAGGTTACTGCACCTGAATCTGTCTTACAATCTCTCAGCCTAGAGACGTCCTCAGATCCTTTGTTACCAGGTATCGTAGTCAATTTGTTTTGTGCTACTGATTGTGCTTCTTTGCCTGTTACAGATGCATCTGCGCCATTGCCATTCTCCCAACCAGTAGGTGGTGTAGATTCCTGTGGGTCTGAGAAGGAAGATGTGGAAGTAGAGAGAGAAGTGGAAGACAGGTTAGGGGTAAGAGAGGAGGCTGATAGGATTTGGAATCTGATTTGCACTGAGCTCGAGGAGCTTAAGGAGAGGGATCTAGAATCAGAAGAGATAAGCTGATAGATCTAGGCCAGGAGGAAGGAATGATCTCTAGGGACAAGGAGGGTGGGAAAATAGGGAGAGCCGACAAAAGGTATATCGCAGGAAGAATGAAGAAAAGAAGAAAAAGAGAAGGAAGAAGAGATCAGAAGTGGAGAGGCTGAAGTTAGACATTGAGGGAGACTTACAGTTCAGTGGTAGGGGTGAAAGAAGGAAAACTCAAGTCTAAGGAATTTGCAGAAAACAAGGGTTGCATCCTAAATAGAATTATGAAGCTGATTAGTTGGAATGTCAGAGGCTTAGGGAGTGTGTGGAAAAGAATAGTTATCGAAGACCTACTTAGAAGGGAGAATCTAGATGTTGTCTTGTTACAAGAAACAAAAATCTTCGAGTTGGATATGTTCTAGATCAGAAATATTTGGGGTTCTGGAGGAATTAGATGGTCCTGTATTCCTTCGTGTGGGGCTTCAAGGGGAATTGTGACCATGTGGAAGGACGAAGTAGTGGTGGTCGTAGAGGAACTGATTGGTAGTTTCTCGGTTTCTTTGAAGTTTAAAAACATGAGAGATGGCTTTACTTGGGTTCTCACCAATGTTTATGGACCAAACAGTTGTCGAGAAAGGAATGATATGTGGGAGGAGTTATTTGGTGTTAGGGGTTTATGGGAAGGACCTTGGTGTGTGGCAGGGATTTCAATGCGATAAGATTCTCAAATGAATCTAGTTGCCCAAACCAATGGGTGACCTCCAGTATGAGGAAGTTCAGTAACTTCATAGATTCATGTGAGCTGAAGGAACTCCCGCTATTGCCAGCTAGATTCACTTGGTCCAATCTTCAAGAAGTTCCCCATTGCTCAAAACTGGATAGGTTTTTGTTTAACAAAGAATGAGAGAACTATGAGGAGAACCTAGTTTCCAGAACCTTACCTAGAGTCACTTCAGACCATTTCCCTATCAAGTTAGGTCTTGAAACCTTCTTAAGTGGTCCCACTCCATTTAGATTTGAAAACATGTGGCTCACACATCCGGACTTTGTAAGGAAAGTAGAAACTTGGTGGAAGGAGGATGTGGGTGATGTGAGATGGAAGGGTGTGAAATTTCATAAGAAGTTAAAAAGGTTGAGAGGAAAAATCAAGGAGTGGAATAAGGATTGTTTTGGAAGATTAGAGGAGAAAAAACTCAATCTAGTGTCCAACATAGAGGAATTAGATTAGAAGGAAGAGCAAGGGTCTATTGTTGTTGAGGAGAGAGTTGTGAGATCCAAATTGAAGAGAGAGCTAGAGGAAATCTTACCAAGGGAAGACATCGGTTGGAGACAGAAATCCTGGTGCAAGTGGCTAAAAGAAGGGGATGGTAATACAAAACATTTTCATGCATTGGCAAATGGGAGAAAGAGGACAAAACCTATGTGGCTAAATTGGAAGTAGAATGGCAAGAGATAACCAATCAAAGTGATACTGGACTTGAATGATGGAGTAGTTATGGAGGATCTTGATTGGACTTGCCTAGAAGATACAAAAGCTTGTTGGTTGGAAAGAAATTTTGAAGAAGAAGAGATAAAAAAGGCAGTTTTTTCAATGAATAGATCTAAAGCCCTTGGGCCAAATGGTTTCACTATGGCCTTCTACCAAGATTTCTAGGAAATTGTGAAACAAGATCTAGTTGATGTGTTCATTGAATTTGCGGAGAAGGGTTTCATTAGTCCAGGGATAAATGCGACCTTTTTAGCTCGTCCCCAAAATGCCTGATGCTTGCCACCCAAAGGATTTCAGATCGATCAGCTTAGTGACCAGCTTGTATAAGATTATTGCTAAGGTACTCTCCGCAAGGTTAAAAACAGTTCTTCCTGCCTTAATCAACCAGCAACAAGGGGCTTTTGTAAAAGGGAAACATAGTTGATCAAATCCTCATTGCCAATGAATGTGTGGAAAAAATGAAAAGACCTAAGAAAGAAGGCTTTGTATGTAAGTTGGACCTTGAGAAAGCTTATGATATGGTGGACTGGGCATTTTTAATTGAGGTAATGGAATTTTGTGGTTTCGGGGAGAGATGGTGTAATTGGATCTTTGGATGCATTAAGACTTGTCATTATTCAATTCTAGTCAATGGGACTGTGAGAGACTTCTTTCCAGCTTGTAGAGGTTTGAGGCAGGGAGACCCCCTATCACCCTTTCTCTTCACTATAGTTCCGAATGTTTTGAGTAGTATAATCTATAAGGCTGAAATGGAGAATAGATTTAATGGTTGGAAGGTGGGTAGGGATAAGGCACCGATTACTCACTTACAATTTGTAGATGATATTATAATCTTCTATGAAGGGGGGGGGATCAACTTTTGGCGAGAAATTTGAAGGACATGGTGAGGAATTTTGAACTTGTCTCTAACCTTAAAATTAATCTTGAGAAGAGCTGTATTGGGGGAATTGACATGGAGGAAAGAGATCTTATAGTTGCAAATGTCCTAGAATGCTCCATCTCAAGTTGGCCTCTGACTTACTTAGGACTTCCCCTAGGTGCAAACCCTAGAGAGACTAGATTTTGGGTTCCAATCTTTGAGAGGTGCGCTAGGAAACTAGCAACTTGGAAAAGAAACTACATCTCTATTGGGGGTAGGGCTACTCTGATTAAGTCCACACTTGCTAACCTGCCAATCTACTACTTGTCGGTCTTTTTGATCCCTAAAAAGGAGATAAATATGATAGAGAAACTGATGAGGAACTTTTTGTGGGAATCATGAGAAGGTAAAAAAGATCACTTGGTTAATTGGGAGATTGTGTGTGGAAGTTTAGAAGTAGGAGGATTGGGAATTGGGAATGTGGATAAAAAAAACTCGTCATTGCCAAGAAAATGGTTATAGAGGTGGCCACGAGAACGGGATAGACTCTGGCGTAAAGTAATAACTAGTATACATGAAAGGTTGGGGAATGGCTGGGATGCATGTGTCTCTAATGGGGCTACATTAGCATCTCCGTGGAAGGCAATTCATCATATTTTGCCCACTTTCCTCCAGTTTGTCAGGTATGACGCTTGTTCAGGGGATACTATTAAATTCTGGGAGGATATCTGGATCAGGTCTTACCCGTTGAAGGATCTCTTCCCATCTTTATACTCAGTTTCCTTGTACAAAATTGAATGTATTGCCAAATTTATTGCTTCCCCAGTTCTCCCAGTGGACCATAATTGGGACTTCGGCTTTCGTAGAGGGTTAAGGGGTGACGAGTTTAGGGCTTGTACGGAGTTGCTTCAATTAGTTCAAAATGTATGCCTTGATCCTAATAACTCAGACAAGCATATTTTGGCCCCTCAACCTAAGGGTCTGTTTTCACGTGCCTCCTTCTTCAAGTCTGTTTGTAATTATCCCCCCTCTCCTTTGTTCCCCTTGGAAGAGTTCTGGTGCAAATCCATTCCCCCTAAAGTAAGAGTTTTTTGTTGGGAAGTAATTCATGGAAAAATTATTACCTTTGAAATGCTACAGAAGAGGAAACCCAATTTATGTCTCTCCTAACTGGTGTGTCTTGTGCAGATCAGATAATGAGAGTTGCTCTCATTTATTGATTTCCTGTTCTTTTGTTGCAGATATATGGAATTGGTTTTTTTCTTTGTTTGGGTGCAGGTGGTCCTTAGCACCGGAGGCTAATTTTTTGTTTGATCCTTCTATGTTTACTTGGCCAAAAAAGAGGGGAAGGATACTGTGGGGGTGTGTCAGAGCAGCCTTGATTTGGACTATTTGGGAAGAGAGGAATATGAGAATCTTCTCTGAGAAGGAGGAGAAGCAAGGAAATAGATAAGGGACTGTGTGATGATTAGAGTGATTCATTGGATTAGATCTATGGATCTGTTTTCTTAAGTTTCTCCTAATGACCTGTGGAGAAATTGGGAAGGAGTGACA